ATCCCACTTGCAAATAAAGCTTACAAATTTTGTATAAACCCCTCTTATCCTAGGTTTAAGCACTTTAAGGTCACCACAAAACATTCTGATGTTTTTGGTAGCTTAGTTTCTTCAAAAGTTTTTTTTAATTGCATCGAAAGAAAAGATCGTGACACTTTTTAATAACACTCATGATTTCGGACACTTCCCAACCGTCTCATTAGTTAAATGAACCATTTCCTAAAACTTTTTCTCCGAATACTTCACACAACTCTCTATCGGAAATGTGAAGGAGACACATTGGTACAAAATTGCCAGGATCAAGGAAAGGGTGTCTTTATGTGCTTCATTGACTATGAGGAAGCGTTAAGCACGACCTTCTGACAACATACCTTGGAGAAATGGGACTAGATGGAAAAGATATAAGGTTGATCGGTAATCTGTACTGGCACCATAGAGCGAAGTTTCGAATGAGTAACCCTGGAACATTTACATATTTACTAATTTTGACACTGAGTGAAATTTGACGTGGATAACAATTCGGATACATCCTTTGGAAGGCGCAAATCTCTAATTAAATCATTCGATTCGCTCTGGTTAAGCACTGAAATCTAGTGTGGAATCTGGATCACAATTGTAATAATATACGGAGTGTTCGATTTGAAATAAGCAATTTGGCAGAAAGGCGTTTCTAAATTACATCTCAATAAACTTTCAATTCTGTATACGAATATGATGAAAACGCATGTGAAAAATCAGAATTGGAGCAACGAAATATAAACTACTGTTTTTGAAAACTCAGCTAAATTAAAAATGAAGTATGGTTTTATACAGTCAGTGAAAAAACAAAACCGACCTTTTCAAAAAAAAAAGACCAAAAATAAACAAAATTTAACAAAAAAAAGTATAAACTACTGTGGAAAAAACAAAAAAGAGCTTTTCAAAAACCAAAATTCGAGCAATGAAATACCAAAAATAAGCATTTTTTAAAATTATAAATTAATGTAGTTGAGAAATCAGCTAAATTAGAAATGAAGCATGGTTTTATGCAGTCAGTGAAAAAACAAAATTGAGCTTTTCAAAATTCAAAATTGGAGCAATGAAATATCAAAAATAAGTAAAATTTTTAAAGAAATATAAACTACTGTTGAGAACTCAGCAAAATTTAAAATGAAGTATGGTTTTATACAGTCAGTGAAAAAAGAAAACCGACCTTTTCAAAAATCAAAATGGAGGTGATAAAATACCAAAAATAAACAAAATTTCTAAAAAATATATAAATTAGTGTAGTTTAGAACTCAGCTAAATTAAAAATGCAATATGGTTTTATACAGTTTTATACAATCGAAAAAAAAACAGTAAATGGGGGAAACTTTACAGCACTCTGGGATAAGCTAAATACAATAAATTAGAAAAATAAAACGAAGATAATAATACAAATAAAAACTACAGACCAGTGTATCAAGTGTTTAATCAATGAATTAATAATTTACAATCAATCGCCATATTTAAATATAGAATATTACGTTCTACAACAGATACAGTATTGCTATTTACAAATTTCGTAACTCACAAAGTCACCCTGTATAATTCTATACCCGAAATTTCATTAAACTTGGGTATTGTGTGTATACATTCTCGAATAAGTCACACAACCTTACAGAGTGGGGAAAGTAACCTTTGTTTTTATAATAATGAAATATAATAAAATGTAATAATCCATCGCGCAATGAAAATACAATAAAAAGTAAATTTTCTATTTGCGGGTGTCAATACATGTTTCAAGATAACACGGTATAATCGAAAATAAGAAAAATGGGAAAAAGCCCTACGATTTAGCGGAAAGTGTCGGCAATTGAGTTAATCTTAACGGCGCCCACTTTTCGCTTACGTGTCGTACACACGGGCAATTCGAAATGTTTCGCGATAAAACGCCCAGAAATGCAAAAAAAACTATCGCTTATCTTTCCACTTCATCCACATTTAGGCCAGAGCAAAGTTAACAACGCTGATTTGCTAAAACGAGAGACTGTCGTGAACTTTGGAGGCTTCATTAAAAAAACACAACGCAACAAAGGTGTACAGGGTGTTGTTTGTTAAGTGTCCCACGTTTCACTTTTGGTTTTTTGAAATTGAATTTACTTGTATGAGAGACATTGCCCACGTCTGTTTTCTCAGTTTCAAAGGCCCAGAACATTCTGTACGATCCTCCCTGATTTATTTTAACTCTTCCCTTTTTCTGTCTAAGGGAAGAATCATCATGATCCATAACATACTGCTAGAAAAGCGACAATGGTGCGGATCTACTGTTTTGGTCAGTTTTTGGTCTCCCAATCTCCAGATCTCAGTGAGACTGAGAATATTTGCGAAAACCATTTATTTGTGAAGGCACTATACCTTTCGTTGCTTGATGTTTACCTAAGAAATATACACGACTCCGAGATAGGTCTGCTGTTTTGAGAGTATTATTTTGTTTTTGGATTTCTTAAAAAAAAATTGGATAACCTTAAATGGAAATGCAATAATGACGTTTTCGAAATATCCCTTACATATTTTATATTGCAAGTGACTTTACAATTCTACACAGCTTTCTAGTTAAAAATTATTTTGACAAAGCTTAACTTGTCTATGATTTTATTTATTACAAAAGAGTTACTTTCGTAATTAAATGGTTTAAGATGAAGATTTAAGATTCAAATTGAAAATTTTCAAAATAAAATAAATATATCTAAGAAGCTAAATTAGATGTAGACAACCCTGAAGGAAGACAACTTGCTGCGTAATAGGCAACTTAACCTAAGTTACAATCGGCTTTGGAAATATTTTAAAATGGAAGAAAAGCTTTGAATGAAGAAGGAGTCCAAAAATTGAGAACTTTCAGTTTTTTCTTCCAAAAATATAAAAATAAAAAACATACTTTCGATATTACACATGGTTACACATAGTGGTAATATTATTAATGCAACCTGCGCCCTCCAGCACTACTTTTTGAAACTACCAGGCCTCAATGAGTTTCAGTTAACTAAAGTAACTTTCTAACAAACTTGGAAAAGTTACGGGTTTTACGGTTCGCCCTGTGGATGGTGTCCTCTTGCGGTGAAAAATTTTCTTACTCCCAATTTAGTATTTTTATTGAAATGCTTAGAAAGCGCGAGTGTGAGTGTGAGTGAGAGTGTGCGTGTGCGTGTGTGTGTGTGTACAGTGTGAGCCAACTATGCTACTACTAATTTGCTAATTTAACCGACTTTGTATCTCTACTTATAACAAAGTTACCAATCATGAACACTTAATTTAGAACAGTCGGTTATTATTAATAAAAAAGTTGTATACTTAAAAATAATTTGAAATCGTCCGTGCTAACAATCTCTTCAACTTTGTATTTACCGTTTTCTCATAGCTTTTCGAAACCAATGAGATAATAAACTTTACTCTGATGTTGACTCACCTTGTACAGTGTGTCTCAATCTTAACAAAAAAATTGTTCTTACTTGAGTGACATGGCAGGGGTGGGCCAGGTATATTTTTTTCATTCTGAGGTTGACCATTTGTGACAACGCTGATTAATCGTTTTTACTGTGCTTTTCGAAATAGTTATTTTAAATCGTCACCAAAGATGAGCCCTGCTGAGCTTTCCAAGCCATTCCAGCCATTTAAAAATTACTAAATTGTGAACTTTTAAGAAATAGCTTCTAATAATTTTTTATCTACATAATTTTTCAAAATTTGTATCCTAATTAATAGTCCGTATTTTATTTCTATGGATTTCAAATTTTAAAAGGGTTGTCAGTAGGTAGCGAAAATTAAAGAGCATAAGAAAAGTTTTACAATTATTTTTCTACAAGCATAGCGATTCTAACCTCACAATTCGACAGTGTTTTGATAAAGTGATTCGTGATGTTATGAAAGTTTGGAAACCTAATGGTATTCCCGTCTGTCAACCATATCACGCTATTACTAAAATCATGAGTGTGGGAACTTTTGAAAAAAAAAATAAAACAAGGAAAACTCAGAAACAAAAAATCAAGGAGCTTACATTTAAAAATCCCCCTTGAGAATGTGTTTGATATATCTAACTCAGCACATTCTTTAACAGAAGCTCAGCCTAAATATTTAAATCAAGAATCGAAAACGTCAAATCATCAAAAATCGTCAAAAATTTGTAATCGATGATTACATGTAATAATAAATATCATTCATTTTTTCAATTATCCTCCACCCACACTGCGTACTGACAACCATTTTTGAAATTTGTAATCCGAAAAAATAATAATACTGACTATTCCCTGATTAAAAAAATGATTTGAAAAGTATTAAATACTTCTGAATATTTTCAATTACTGATCTTATGCAGATTTGAAATTGTCAATTTTTTTAAATTCATTTTTCTAATCAGGGTTAGTTGGGATACAAAATTTGAGAAATTATGTAGATAAAAAATTATTTGAATTAGTAATTTTTAATTTTTTTAATAAATTGTTTTTTTGTAAAAAATCGCAAATATTGTACGTAAATATAATTTTGGTGAAAAAAGAAATTTTTTCATGTTAATTAAGTGGGAAACTAAAATAAAAATAGCGACCCCTTAGAGTTGAGCTACAGGGCTCATATTTGGCTAGGATTCTTTTTACATCAAAAAGATATATTTGAGAGGGTAAGGGCTAAAAGAAAATAATTAATTTGTGACTGAATGTAACAATAGTAATTTTTTTCAAATGGCACAACCTATTGTTTTTTGAATTTTTATATTCAGGAGATCATTCCTTGCTTGCTTGACGAAGATTGAGACAGACTCTACCTCATTTATTAATAAGGCTAAAAGTTCAGATTTTCACGAAATTATATATTTAATATATAATATTATTATTAAATAATATTGAAATATATAATTTCGTGAAAATCTGAACTTTTAGTTCTTATTTATTTTGATAAATGGATTTTCATCAAGTAAAAGCCACCACAGTTCAATATCCTAGTAGACGTCAAAAGTGACTATCAAAATGACCAACCATTCGATTTTTCAGTTCAGACTCCAATCGGTGAGGTCGGACATGTTGTGAACCGCACGGCCTGTCAAGTGACGTCACTTCCGCCGTTCGTTTTTCGTTTAGTTTGTTTGGATTAATCCGCTGTGCGAAAATGAAGGGCAGAGAGAAACTGTGCGCCAAATTGTCGAGTGCCTTCTTGAGAAAGTGGTGTAAGTATAGTAAATTTTAAACTGACGGTGAAACAGCGAGGTCGAAACACCGAGAAACGGTTTCAAGGCGACTGGAACGTTTATACAGCGTCGTCCCAGCTGGGGACGCCGTATCTCGCATGCATATCGAGTAATTGAAAAATTAGCAATGCACGACGACCGATTATCGAATTTAAGGCCGCCATTTAAGGTCGGCCTGCCCAAAATTCGTTAATCGACGGTTATTAAGCGTTATTAGTAGTCAAGTGCCCGATCGTAGATGTCAAGAAAAATTTAAGAAAATATTAATTGCTTAACAGAAATTGTGTATTTTAGTTTTTCATTAGTTACGTTCGCAATTTTAAAATGTCTAATAAAACACATATTTTTTAAATAGAACGTTTAAAGGTTTTCAAATTTTCTTTTGAAATCGGTTTAAAATTTTTCGTCTTTATTAATAATAATACATAACCTTATAGTTTTTCCAATACAGTCGAAACTCTATATAGCGAAATTGAAGGGACTGCTCTTGTTTTCGGTATAAAGAGTTTTCGTGATAAAGTGTTCTGTAATATTTAATTGTCTTATATACATATTTTAATATCTACTTAGGAACATTTTATATAAATATTTAAGGACTACATTTAATGTTTCAAATAATCGGTCATTTTCTTTTGAATTTTTTTAGTATGCCAATACGCATCCCGTACTTCGGCTTGTATTTTCACCATTTCTTCGAGAGGGGCATCTTCCCCATGATACATAACAATTTCTCTAGCAGCTTAACTGAATATAGGGCTTGCTGAACTTCTTCATCTTCTTCCTCTTGGTGCTCTTCCTCACCCTTTCTTGCTTGTTGTAATATGGCTTCCTCTGTCAAGTCTGCTGTTGCAGGCAAATCCTGATCTATCACCATAAAATCTTGCAACTCCTCACTTGTAAACGTAATTGTTGTTTGAAACTGCTTTATCCACTCGCCTTGTGGAGTCCTGTTCGTATTCTGCCTCGGTAATAATTCCTGCATGACGATAGGAGTGTTGAATTGTTTTTGCTGCCACCTCTTTCCAAGCTTTACTAATAAAGTTTATCCCATGTCTCTGTTCGAACTTCCCCAACCATCTTTCCGAAGCCTTGATATCGATAACACCAAGCTCTCAGCAAACTTTTCTACTTTTAGTTTTAAGATAGGTCCACAGAGTGGTACATTTTTAAGACGTTGCTGTTGGAATCACTGCCACATTGCCCGAATGATTAACAAATTGTGTTCGTAATACAGAGTTCCGCTAAAGAGAATTTTCACTTTAATGTTTTTAAAAAAAAAAAGTTTTCACATAAATTTCAAATGGAATTAGGTTTGTAGAAAACATAATAATATATTACTACTACAGGGTGTGAAAAATCTCGAATGCATATTCTCAAAATTAAAAAGAAATCAATCAAAAAATTCATATTTTTTTATATAAATTAATGATTTTTTATTTTATAAATAAAAAACAAAGTTTGCCCTACACACCGCACACTATTATATTTTCTAAAATATCTTACAAAAACCTACAATTTTGCGATTTATTTCTGTCTAAAAATGAGCGTGAGAATGAACTTCGTCGGAGCGGTTGTTAAAGCAGCAAACAGTTATTAGGTATTTTGAATTTTAAATTCACAGACAAGGTAAATAATATTAAATACCTATTTTTACAAATTTACTTATCTTATTTTGTAATAAATGTTCACAAATATGCCATTACTAACTGGACACATGTTTAGTCTTATCTCCGGGTGTTGGGAGATATAAATAAATACATATTTGACATATACCCACCAAAATAATTTTGAAGTACTTCAAATCAAGACGACAAATAGTGGTATCGCGTATTTACGCGTGTTTACGCACTGTATATCGTGATCGATGACAATATTCTCACTCCACATGAATAGTGGAATGGTCGTTAAAAACGAGTGGCCTAAAATATCTACAACGACAATTAACGCAAGGCCGAAGGCTTTACAAAGACATTAGCGACAACATTACTTAATGGACACAAATTTATTTTTTGCAACTAGATATACAATGTTATTCACGCTGTTCATTCGTAACACATAACTTCAGCGACATTCTGTGAAATGATTAATACCATTCCTTATCATACAAACAAACAAACAAACAAACAAAAGAAAATGAAAACCGAGTAAATAGTACAACAAATTTGTGTTAAAAACCTACGGTTTCATAAACTATCTATCTAAACTTTCTAGAGCTTTTTATTATAGCTTCTTTATGCCAGCTGAAGCTTTCTTGATAAAAATATACAAAAAATGGTATAAGGATCCTTAGTGCCTTCCCAATTTATGTACTGCGAAATAGTGTATACAAACTTGTTAATGTTTTAGAAACGAATACTAAATGCGTTGGGACATCATTTCTTGTGTTTACTTTCAAAATTATAACATCAGATACATCCACATATTTATCCAACAAACTGATTAGGAATATTTGAAACAACAATCATTTCAGATTCCTATATTTCTGTGCAAAACTTTTTAAATTCAATAATTTTTTTTTCATTTTTTCAATGTTTTTTTTGTAATTTACTTTATCTTGTAGTGCTGCCAACTTTGGCGAAAGAAAAACTAAACAGCGTCGCCATAACAAACAAAATCATCGATATTAATCCAACAGTTAATTTTACTAAGCTTCTTCGTTCTAAATGTAGAGATTCAGTTCATCGCCTTGATGAATTGTTTTGTCACTTTCCTTATAGTAATATTATTTTTCTTTTTTTTTTCTATTTCATTCTAGGGCTAGGCTATAAGGTCGCTGGAACAAGCGCTGTTTCATGAAAATTAGTCTATGCTTTGGACTATTTTTGTTCTGTGTATGTATTTTCCTAAACGGCCATTTTACATGAGTAACAATAAAAAATAGGGAACCTAAATATTTCTTTGAACAACAGAAATTTTATGAAAATTTACGGTACAGATACCTAATCTATCGTAACACGCTAATAAATATTATAAAGAAAAGCTTTTACCAGCCAAAAATTGTTAATTGTGAAAATATAACAACAAACATCAAAATTATCTTTGGGTTATACCAGACATGTTCAAAATATTGCAAAGATTACATAAAAAAGGTAATAAAACAAACATTAATAATAACAAACCAATTACAGTCGCCATAGTTTTCTTAACCTGTTCTTTTGGTGAAAGGTAAAACAGTCAATTCTGAATCGTACACTACCATTTGTTTGCCGAAATTCTTCGAAGAAATTAGTAAAACCTACTGCCGAAGAACTTTTTGAGCATTAACAACGTTGATTTGATGAGTCCAGATTTAGCACCTAATGACTTCTTTTATTCCCATACATTAAGAATAATTTACGGGGGAAACGATTTTTGAAACCAGAAAAAGCGATCGATGCGTTTAAAAAGCATGGAGGTGCCGACTAGATGTGGGAAAAGTGCTTCGACGATTGGTTTTATCGGTCATATTTGTTGGTGGCTTATAGTTTTTTATAACAAATCTCGAAATATGAAAGGTAGAACTCGTAGGAAAAAAATATCTAAGCCTAATGTATAAAACCGACGGTTTCTTCTTCTTTTCTACTGATTCCACACTTGTGTGTTTGAAAACTACCTATTTAACAACTAAATACCATACGTTGCGAAAAATCCCAGAAATAGCACGCTTTTTCGTAATCGAAAATTTAGCACGGCTGTTGTATAGGGTGGCACCTATAGAAAATATAAAAAAAACACTTCATTGATTATACTTATACTTTTAAAATATTTGATTTACAAGGTGTTGGTATGTTCATGGACAAGTAACAACTGTCTTATTTTAAAAAGAACATACTAATTACTAAGTTATTATTTAATTCCAAGAAACTTTCTAGCCATATGCCGGCTGATTGAAAGTAGCATTTTTGTCACTGATTACCTTGCTAAAAACAAAAATAACAATTGAAATATAGGGTTAAGAAAAAAAATGAGTAAATGGAACTCCCAGTATATTTTTTAGTTTAACGTTCGTAAATCAGCAACAGAACAAAAAAGGTCATATGCAATATTAACGCAAAAGCACATTTTTTTTATACTAGATGGCTATGAGTGGTTGCGAAATAAAGCTACAATTTCCTTTTAAGTAAGAAAAAATAATAACACCAATTTCCACGTCTTTATTAATTACACCATTTCTCGTCTCCTTTTAGCAAAACGTGTTAATCATTATTATTGTTATATCAATTGTTATCAATTATTTAAATTAATTTTACTTTATCACTTACTCAAAAATGGTTTTTGCACATGAAGAAAAGTGCGACATCTTAGAATGCTATTTGGGATGCAGTAAATCTTCTTTAAGCACAAGAAAATGATACATAAATCTATATCCACAGCCGGTTTCTTTTTTCTGTGCATTTATAGAATCTTTATAAATAATGAAAAAAAAAAAACGAAAAAAATTTATCAGTGAAGACGTGGAAGATGGTGTTCTTGGATATTTTGAAGCGTATCACGACAATTCTATGCGAGACATAGTCAAGAACTCTAACACATCCTTTAATACTATCAAAAGGATTTCAAACAAACACAAATTAGGCCCTTATGAATTCCGGTGCTTTTGGCAGAGGATGCAGAGAGAAGACTGTTTTTGTCATTGATATGGTAACTTTTGCCGCCAAAACATAAGTAATTTTCGCTACATTTTGCGAACCGGTGAATCATAATTTTCAAATTCTAGAATTTAGAATCCAAAAAATCATTGTTATCGGTCAAGAGAAAATTTACTAGTATATCGACGAGATCCACAAGTTCATTTCAGCTTTAAGGTTTGATGAGGTATAATTGGTTCTCGCATTGTTGATCCATATTTTTACACTGATTGTTACATTGCAATTACCACTGGATGGTTAGTATTGGTTAGTTTTGGTTTTTGGTTGGATTGGTTATCACGATCTCCATTTCCAACAAGATGGCGCAGCAGCTCATAACTTGTGAGACGCATATCAATTTTTGACAATTTT